CCTAAACCCTAAACCCTAATTCGCGCGCAGGCCCACTCAAAACCGCTCTTTTGCTGCTTCTTTTTTCTCACTTTTTTCTCCTTTCGATTCCCTTTTATTTCTTATTTCTTTTTTCTTTTTATTTGCTTTTTGTTTCTTTTTATTTCTTTTTATTTCTTTTTATTTTTAATTTATTTATTTTAATTTGTTTTTCTTTTTCTCCTCAGGGCTCGAGACATGGCCGCTAGAGGAGTGCCCGCCCACTTGCGCCACACCTTGTAAGGGTTTAGGGTTTAGGGTTTAGGGTTTAGGGTTTAGGGTTTAGGGAATGAAAATAAGAGTGAGAGACTTTTAAAACAAACCAGACAAAGCAACTAGCAGCAAAATGCACCACAGCAGCAGCTGCAGCAGCAGCAGCAGGAAACGAACAAGCACTCACATGCTGTTTCCTCTGCTGCTGCTGCTGCTGCTGCTGCTGCTGCTGCTGCCTGCTGTTGTGCTCCCCCGCCGCCGCCCCTGCTGCTGCCGCCGCCGCTGCTGCTGCTGCTGCTGCTGCTGCTGCTGCTGCTGCAGTCGCTTGCGTTTGCTGCCTCCTGCAGGGGAGAGCAGCAGACCTTTTCGAAAAGTTGATGCTGCAGCAATGGGCCACTTTTGCTTTTTTGCTGCTGAAGTTTCAAAAGTGGAATTTAAAAAACCAAAACTTCTCGTTGCTGCTTACGAGTGCGAAACTTGCCACGATAAAGCTTTTCAACCTGTGAGGTTTAATTCATTTAATTTAATTAATTAATTAATTAATTAATTAATTAATTAATTAATTAATTAATTAATTTGTTTAATTTAATTTAATTTAATTTGGTTTTATTTAATTTACTTTTTCTGGTTGTTTTTGTTTGGTTTGTGTATTGTTTTTTTTCATTTAATTGCCGCTGCTTCTGCATGCGAAGCAAATAAAACACAAAAGAAATAAAATAAATAAAACAAGACAAATAAAACAAATAAAACAAATAAAACAAATAAAATAAAACAAATAAAATAAAGCAAATAAAACAAAAATAAAACAAATAAAACAAAACAAATAAAACAGATACAACAACACAACTAAATCGAATAAAACAAGACGAACGAAACAAACAAAACAACTACTGAAATAAAACAAACAAAAAAACAAATAAAAAACAAATAAAACGAATAATCCAATAAAACAAAACAAATAATGCATCAAATAAGACAAAACAAAACAAATAAATCGAATAATTAAACAAAACAAAGCAAATAATGCATCAAATAAAACAAAACAAAACAAATAAATCGGATAATTAAACAACACAAAACAAAAAACCCATCAAAAAAGCAAAATAAAACAAATAAATCGGATAATTAAACAAAACAAAACAAAAAACCCATCAAAAAACCAAAATAAAACAAAAAAAAGTCCAAAAACAAAACTTTTTTCGCAGGTGGAGGGCCCCGTGTTTCTGCCGCTGACCACCTGCATGCAATGCCGGCGTTCTGGAGGGCGCGAAAGCGCTCTTCATTTCCACTCCAAACTTTCTCTCTTTTTGCCGGCTCAAATCGTCAAAGTTCAGGAACCTTCTGCCCAGGTTGGAGGCCCTTTTCAGCCCCTTTTAAACCCTTTTTAAACCCCTTTTTAAACCCTTTTAAACCCTTTTAAACTCTTTTCAAACCACTTTTTAAACCCTTTTAAACACTTTTTAAACCACTTTTTAAATCCTTTTAAACGCTTTTTAAACCACTTTTTAAACCCTTTTAAAGCACTTTTTAAACCCCTTTTTAAACCCTTTTTAAACCACTTTTTGAACCCTTTTTGAACCACTTTTTAAACCCTTTTAAACCCTTCTTAAACCACTTTTTAAGCCCTCTTTGAGGCAGTTTTTAAACCCTTTTTCAACCCCTTTTAAACCCTTTTTAAACCCTTTTTAAATCCGTTTAAAAACACTTTTCAAAACACTCTTCAAAACATCTTTTAGTCCCTTTTTGAATCTTTTGGCTCAAATTGTCTCTTTCTTGTTGTCTCCAAATGTCCCTTTTTTTCTCTCCTCAGAAGTCCCCTTTTTTGTCCCCAAAAGTCCCTTTTTTGTCTCCAAAAGTCCCTTTTTTGTCCCCAAAAGTCCTTTTTTGTCTTCAAATTGTCCTTTCTTTTGCCTCAAATTGTCCCTTTCTTTGTGCCTCCAATTGCCCCTTCCCTCCGCCTCCAATTGTCCCCTTTTATCTCCCAAAAAGTCCCTTTTTTTGTTTCTAAAAGTCCCTTTTTTGTTCCCAAAAGTCCCATTTTTGTCTCCAAATTGTCCGTTTTGTCTCCAAATTGTCCTTTCTTTTGCTTCAAATTGTCTCCTTCTTTTTGCCTCCAATTGTCCCTCTTATTCTCCCCAAAAGTCCCCTTTTATCTCCCCAAAAGTCCCCTTTTATCTCCCCAAAAGTCTCTTTTTATCTCCTCAAAAGTCCCTTTTTTCTTTCTTCAAAAGTCCATTTTTGTCTCCAAAAGTCTTTTTTGGCCCGCAGC